CCTAGTCGAACACGTCTATTTCGAGTTCGTATTCTTTATCGGGGTCTAGTATTACTAAGATAGGTTCGCTAGTAACCCTTCCTTTCAGGGCTTAGAATACTTCTTCTATTCTTTCGTTCTAGTTAAAGTCGAGTCCTTTTTTAGTTACTTTGGTTAAGGGGATAGTAATCTTACTATAGTTCTTAATAAATCGTTAATAGTAGTTAATAAGTCCGAGGAAAGACTAAATATCGCGAACGTTCTACGGCTATAGCCACTTAGAGACGTATTAGATTTTCGCCTTATTTATATAGACTTTATTAGGTCGTATCGTGTATCCTAAAAAGTTAACTTCTTATATATAGAATTATACTTTTTCTGGTTTAACTAGTAGGTCGGCGTCTTATAGGAGTTATAGGATTATATAAATATAGTATCGGTATTCTTCGAGTATTTTAGAGAAGATAAGGATATTATCCAGGTATACTATAATAAAGTGGTCTAAATACTTCCTTAGAATATCGTTTATAAGCGTTTAGAACGATACCGGCGTATTAGTTAATCTAAAGGGTATAATAAGGTATTCGAAATACCCTTATTTTATTCGGAATACTATTTTTTACTCTTCTCCTTCCTTAATCCTAATTAAGTTATAGGCTCCTTTTAAATCGAGTGCTATAAACTATTATACTCTAACTAACTAATCTTATATCTCCGAGATAAAAGGTAGTGGGTAGCGGTTCTTAACGGTTATATCGTTAAGTTATTAATAGTCGATATATAGTCGTATTTTACCGTTTTTCCTTAGTATAAATAGGATAGGGTATCCTACTAGTAACTATAATACTCTAATATAGCCTTTTACTAGTATTTCTTTAAGATATTCTTCTAAGGTATCTAATTCCTTTTAATTTAGTCCGTAGATTAAAAAGAATCTCGGGTATATACCCTCCTTAAGGGGTATCTCGTGATTATAGTATCGATATTTCGGTAATCTAGTCTTTAGATTTTCGGTAAATAGCTTTCCGTATTTACGGTATTCTAGTAATACCTTAGCGAGTCTATCGTGATCGCCTTCTATAAGTCCTTTCTCTGTTTAGATAATCTAATAGATTCCTTTAATAATATTTATTACGTGTTAGTTATCGTACCGTCACTATTATCTTAAAGTCTTCCGTACTTCCTTCGCCTTAGTCTCTGGTTTTTAGCGGCTATCTAAGTCTCCCTAAGGCTCCTTTATCGGTAAGTCTTTCTGCTATTTTCGACGGATATCAGGATCGGGTAAGGTTTTCTTTATAGTCTTTTACTTACTCTTTAATTTTTACTAGAGCTAGCTAAGCTTCTAGTCTATATCGGGATTCTACTTATTAAACTATAGCTTACTAAGAATAACGTCTTTATAGCCTATATCGTATATATCGAACTTTATTACTTTAATCTTATTCTGAATTTTAACCTAAAAGTGTATAGTCTCCTGGCTAATAATAACTTCTTCTTAGGAATAGTTCTTTCCTATATACGGAGTAATTTTATACTCGTCTTCTAGGTATTTTCTAACCTAGGGTATAAAGAACTTTCTTATAGTTATTAGTAAGATAAAGTTTCCTACTACGCCTATATCTAATAGTGCGTTTATCTTATATTTATCGAGTCGTATTCTAATATAGTAGTGCCCTGTATTACTACGTATTATAGAGTATATCTATCGAGTGCCTCTTATATACTCCTTATAATAGTATACTCCTAGTTTTTTACCTATTTAGCTTGGTATTCGAGGGATATCTCTTTATCTAAGAACCGATACTAGATTAAGAGCTATTCTATCTATCGTAGGCGCTTATTAAGGGCCTAGAAGCATAACTCCTAAGCTTCTTAGTCTCGCTCTAGTTATCGGATTTTTCCGGTAGTGTATACTATATAGCTATTAGTTTTATATTCGCTTAACCGATACTCGTAATAGTTATTTTTAGGTGGTTAAAGGCGAATCTCGCGTCTTTTATCCCTGGTTTCCGTGATAACCTAGTTATTATATTATCTCTTTAAATAGACTCTATCTTCTAGGATCCGTTCTTCGTTCCGAGGCTAAAAATTATTAGCTTATTTACGTTCCTTATATATAGAATATATATCCTTAATATAATTAGCCTAAAGGATTAGACTATAGCCTAGATAGTTAGCATATATTATCTATTCTTTCTTATACGTTTAGTACTTAGGTAGTTAATCGTTTAATCCTTATAGGCTTATTATTAGGCCGGTAAAGGTATCTCGGTCTTCCTAAGTATAGTAAGGTCGCTAATATATAGTTCGTTACTATTCTTCGCTAGTATTCGTAGGTGCTTTACGGTAGGCGTTATAAAAGCCGAACTTAGTAAAACGGACTTAGTAGGTTTACCTAAGTGGTTCTTCCGCGAGCTAATCGAGTATCTATAGCTAGATAGTTTCCTCCTTAATTAGGTCGGCTATTTCTATAAGTTAATACTAGAAGTTCGTGTTATTATCCGGAATTCCGTTAGACTCCGTTTCCTAATCTTACTCTTCGAGTTTAGCGATTTCCTCCTATACGTAACGTGTATAATCCTCTTTCTTAAGCTAGTATTTCTCTTCGGGAGTAAGTCCTACTTCCTAGAGGGCGCTAAAGCCTCCACTACTAATATTCGTGTGGACTTCCTATTTCTTCTAAATTTCTAAGATCTACTCCTATCTTTTAGCTTCTTCTTTTATCCACCCGTATTCTTAGAGGATTTCCGCGGTGGTTTATAAAGCTAGTCTATTATTATCCTAGTCGGGGATTTCGAGGCTATAATCGTTATCGTACTCGTTACTAGATACTATAGCGAGTATCTTTTAGGGTCTTTTAGGGTAGTATCTAGCTCTATCCTTCTCTGATTAGTATACTAGATAATAGTTATCGTAGTAGGTTATCTAATAAAGGTTAGCGTATAGTGTTTCGTCCCTATAAATCTTTAGGTATCTAATAGCGTTAATCTCCTTCTAGGGCTTCTCTCTTCCGATCGTATTAGCCTATCGCTATAATCGTTCTCTTTTAGGCTATTAATAATTACGCGCGAAGTAGCCTATCTTATCGTAATTATAGTATTTAACTTTACTTATATCTTTCCTACCCTGCCTATTACTTTATCGGTTAATATTATCGAGCTTTATAGAACTATTATAGTATCTATATAAGGTACTCTCGAATTAGCGTGGGTATAGCTGCTTTCTGCTAGTATTAGCTTAGTTCCTCCTATAGTAAGTAGCGTGTATCGTGGTATTCGAGTTCTAGCGTTTCTCTATTTATCGTTTAAATTATCGGTTATCGATCCGAATAGCTATAGCTATAAATATACTAAAGTCTTCCGGGCGGTTAAGCTTATATAGCTTATCCTTAACTTTATCTTTAAGTCCATGATAGTATTAGTCTATAAGGGGTTTATTATTATAGTTAAGCTTCGAGGCGATCTATTAGAACTTAGCGGTATAGTCGGCTACCGACTTAGTCTATTAAAGCTTTTTAAGTTATTAGGCAGCGACCCTTTTCTTATTAGGTTACCCGAAGATACTGCCGAGTCGCTAAGCGAAGATCTCGAAGTCGCCGAAAATAGCCGTAGTATCGTCCTCCCTCTCGGTAGGATCGTTAAGGTGCTCTAAATAATCCCTGTGGATAGGCTTAAACCACCTATAGGCGTCTCCCGTAAGGAGTACTATAGCATAAAGAACTTTCGCCTCCTCCGTGTTAAGGGTATCCCTATAAAATAAGAAATACCCCCGGAGATAGGTTAGGAAGCCTTATAGCTATCCTTAAGTCCTATCGTACTTAGGTGGCTCTGGGTATTTATACCTTAGGTTACTAGGACGTAGTGCCTTAATCTAAGCTCGGAGTTACTGGTTCTCTTAATAGAGTTGTATAATTTAATTACGTATAGCTTATATTAGGTCGGCGGCCGCGGTGGCCGTTATTCTAGCGTTACTAGTAGCGTTGCCCGTGGTATTAGCGTTAT